TCCCTCTATCTATGGAAAACAGAGCAACAAAGTCTGGTTTCACCATGATACCGCCACAAGTCATACCTCATCTTCAACCCAAGCTTATTTGGAAGATCTAAGGCAAGGAACAGGAATCAACACTATTCCAAAGAACAGAACCCCTGTAAAATCTCCTAATTTAGCCCCGATGGATTTTTGCATTTTTGGATGCCTTAAAAGAGCACTTGGAAAGAGACACCCTAGGACAATTGAAGGTCTCTGGAAAGTGGTAAAGGAAGAATGGGATCTTTTGAGTATGACCATGATCAGAAAGTGTCTGCTATCGTGGAAAATCAGGTGCCGTTCTGTAAATAAACAAAAAAGCTTTCAAATAGAACATTTGAGAAATTTCAAATATGGTGTCAATTTTTAATATTTTATAATAAAACTTGTTTCCTATAAGTGTGAACACCCTCTGTATTTGGAGGAATTGCTCCCTCTTTATCCAGGTACGCCTTTTTTATATAAATATGTATATTTAATGGATCGCCTTTTGACTCAAATATAGCAATGTGTATTTAAAATATTTATACATTTTTACATAATAAGTCCTTTGTACGAAACATTTTATTGCGTCGTATAGGGCGGCCGGAAGTGACGTAGGGAAGTACGCAGTGAGCATGCTCAGTAGGCAGTTAAACTATGCGGGTGAATATGAATGTTTTTTTTTTTAACTCCCAGCGTCCCCAAGTTGAACTGACGGCGGTGGCAATCGTCGTAATGACCGCTGGCGGGCTCATTGTTTTGAACGGAACAATGCACAAAAAGACAACCCGCCTGAAGAATGTGTCATCGTAATCTTAATTGAGCCTTTCTTCTCTCTAAACTAAACTTTCTTTTCCCTCTTCTACCTACAGAAGGACGTGTGTCTTAACCGCTCTCTCTCTTCTACCTACAGAAGGACGTGTGTCTTAACCGCTCTCTCTCTTCTACCTACAGAAGGACGTGTGTTTTAACCGCTCTCTCTCTTCTACCTACAGAAGGACGTGTGTCTTAACCGCTCTCTCTCTTCTACCTACAGAAGGACGTGTGTCTTAACCGCTCTCTCTCTTCTACCTACAGAAGGACGTGTGTCTTAACCGCTCTCTCTCTTCTACCTACAGAAGGACGTGTGTCTTAACCGCTCTCTCTCTTCTACCTACAGAAGGACATTTGCATGTGATCTTATCTATCTTCTTTCCAACTTACAGAAGGAGGACATTTGTCTTATTCACCCTCTCTTCTACCTACAGAAGAACATTTGCATGTGATCTTATCTATCTTCTTTCCAACTTACAGAAGGAGGACATTTGTCTTATTTCACCCTCTCTTCTACCTACAGAAGGACATTTGCATGTGATCTTATCTATCTTCTTTCCAACTTACATAAGAGCATTTGTCTTATTTACCCTCTCTTCTACCCACAGAAGGACATTTGCATGTGATCTTATCTATCTTCTTTCCAACTTACATAAGAGCATTTGTCTTATTCACCCTCTCTTCTACCTACAGAAGGACATTTGCATGTGATCTTATCTATCTTCTTTCCAACTTACATAAGAGCATTTGTCTTATTTACCCTCTCTTCTACCCACAGAAGGACATTTGCATGTGATCTTATCTATCTTCTTTCCAACTTACATAAGAGCATTTGTCTTATTTACCCTCTCTTCTACCCACAGAAGGACATTTGCATGTGATCTTATCTATCTTCTTTCCAACTTACATAAGAGCATTTGTCTTATTTACCCTCTCTTCTACCCACAGAAGGACATTTGCATGTGATCTTATCTATCTTCTTTCCAACTTACATAAGAGCATTTGTCTTATTCACCCTCTCTTCTACCCACAGAAGGACATTTGCATGTGATCTTATCTATCTTCTTTCCAACTTACAGAAGAGCATTTGTCTTATTTACCCTCTCTTCTACCTACAGAAGGACGAGTGTCTTATCCTCACGGCACCAGGGGTCATATAGCTCTCTTTGATCACTAAAGTATTATTGTGCTAGTTCAACAGTACAACCACTTTAATGGGAATGGTACAAAGAAAATTAGAATGGTCCGCCTGCGCAAGGATGACACGAGAAATCGTGAAATGTTCTTTAATAGATCAACAGGGACACTTCATTTCTCTAGTAGTCTGAGAAATGTATGCTCTCCCTCTAAAGCGTTTTTTTCAACCGAATGAGAAAAGTATTCTACCAAAGGTAATTGGTTAAAAAATAATAATCTAGATGTTAAAAAAAGGATAGCGTTGAATGAGGATTGACCATCTTTATTATCGATGTCTGTCAGAGGTGGTGTCATTGACTTAGAAATGTTCAGCAGCTCACTGACGTCCGCTTCTCGATCAGGTGATTCTTTTAAGTCAAAAAAGAATTGAAATATTTACTCAGAATACAAACCTCTTTGGAGTGTCGACTTGTAAGAGAGTGGAATTTAAACCTTTCGCTGCGTTAGAGCGTGTTGCGGAGCGCTGATGTAGGTGTAAAGAGGTCTGGCTGGACGTACAACTGCGGCGGTATTATGGTGATGTGTGAAATATTCATTAATTGTTCCCCGATCTCATTTGTCAGCTTGTCCCGCATTCCCCGCACGTCCCACACTTTGATGAAATATTCAGTCCACTAGCTGTCGTCCCTCCAATCACAACATATTTCCACCTAAATTAGAACTACAATAAAATCTGTTTTTAGCAGCCAGTCTGGAGACAGAATGGTTCAGGTTGTCCCATAACACCGGTCTAGGTACACTGTCTAGGTAACCACAATTTTCGTCTAAGATTAATTCCACTGTTTCTTTTTGATAGAACAATATCCTCTCACGGCAAAATTTCCATCTATAATATTCGGACATAGAATCTGTCTGTTTCTTTAAAAAATCCTGGAGAGGTTTCATGAATCTTAAGATATCAAAACCACCCTAGACCCGAAACCATGATCTCCAGGTGACACCGACTAGAATCCGCTAGGTTGCAGACACGGTCAATGGTTGGCGCTTAGTTTTTGATAGGAGAGGTAACCTTTCTTTATTAGATGTCACTGCATGTGATCGATTCAATTAGGGTAAAATAGACTTTATTCAGAGGCTAGAAGAATCTAGAGAGAGTTAACCGTGTTGTCACCAGAATGGAAGTCTTCCTGCGCTCTGTAAAGGTCGTTTTGGAAAACTTTCGAATCTTCAAAGGACCAAGCATCAAAGTTTATCTTGTACATGAGGTATTGCCAGACCTTTGCTGTTGTGTCTGTCGACCTAGTCTGCCCCCCACACATTGTAAACACAGTCAAGTTATGTTTAGATAACCTCGTATAAGACCAATATAATCAACAACGGCGTTTAATATATAATATTTTATTTAACACGGTTTGTGTGGAGTATATATATCTAAAGTTGCTGCCGCCATGATGACAGGATCCTACGTCGGCCGCCCACCTGCAACAACACACCAACTGTGAGGGATGTCTCGATGGATGGGAGGATTCTTTCCACGTGGTAGGTAGAGTTGTTTTGTTTCTGAAATGAATTGTAATTTATCAACTTCCCACTGTGATAGGAATACTATTGGAGGAGGTCGGACAAGAAATTATCTCTTTAATACAGGTGGCTCACTAATTACTGCTTAAACTGGCTTGTTTGTGGAGTGTTTTTACGTAGAGCGGTCTGGTAGATCAAACTGGCGAAACCGCTGATGAGCCAGGCCCCTCCCCCCCCAATACTTTTATCTCCGCAGTAAGGACTGTAGGAAGTTATTTAATTAGCGCGCTAAAGTGTTTCTATCCATCACCAATATCTTGTCTGCAGGATTATGTGTAGGTAGAAATTTAATGGGTATCGCCGCAGTACATGTTGTTCTGTTACATAGAGATGTAATGTTGTATAAGTCATCTCCTTAACTCTTCTGACCCTCAACTTTCTGAACCCATGTTATTTAAAAACTTGAGAACATTATGAATATATTGGCCCCGCTATCGATTTATTCAGTTTCAATCTCTTCAACGGGGAGATTGTGTCATCTGCTATGCCTGGCGATGTAGAACAAGGAGTGGGCTGTAACACTGTAGTGGGCTCCATAGAACTTAAATTGCCGCGTTTTGAAAAGACATGGAAGCTGGTGGCTTTGGAATTCTCAGAGGGAGGTGGTCTTGCCGAGGAAATGAGAATGGAACTGTATTCCGGTGGACCGTGGTGTGGGAATAGCCTGGGGTGATGTGAACTCCTGCACGGCAGACAATTCAAGTGAACCAACAATGGGTACGTGAGATGTTTCCATCCTAAAACCCACAGACAAACACAGGGTTAGCTGTATCTTTAAAAACATTTAGTATTATCTCTAAAATCCGCATATTTTATGGGATTTATTTTTCCAAGGTGAGGAAAACTTTTACCTGGTCCTGTTCATTCAAGATCTACAGGGAGATTGTCGAGGAAAGATGACTCTCAGAGGGACAAACAGTTCCACTTCTCTAATGTTTCATCAGATAATTACCGTACAATTGGATTTCTGAGGTGCTGCGGCAAATCACGTGTAGATCCTCCTTTCAACTTGCGGAAGACAGAAATTCTGGATATTGCGCAATCCCTAACAAAAGTTTATCTCAGGGAGCCTATTTGTTACTAGGATATTAGTAGATGAGTAAATAGCCCTATAACTACAGCGGTATAGCCACAGAGAGCAGTAAAACATATGAGTAGATGGCAAACTTCAGTAACTTGGTTTAAACTAAACAAATTATTTGGTATAAGGAAATAACGCGATTTTTAAAATAAAGTTCATAATTTCCTCTTAAATAATTTTTA